CTATGTGACAGGAAAGCTGGATGGCCAAAGGTGCAACTTTGTCATAGATTCTGCGTCTCAGCAAACCCTTGTGAGCATTAAGGTGTTAGATCACGAAGGAGTACCAGAAGTCATACAGAAGCTCTGTGGTGTGACAGCATGTACTTTTAAATACACTTTAAGATGAAAATTTAAATGACTCCTATTATTTTATTGTTGATGTTACCTGTGCTGGATAAGTGTTTAAGAAATCCATCAAAGCAAAGAAGGAATCTTGTATAGCAGTGGCAGCCTGTCTGATGATCCCATGAAGTGACTTCTGAGCTTGCTGTAAAAGGCTCATCAACCAAATTTCAACATTTCCTTCAGCTTGAACAACTTTCTCCAACTGTAAATAAACACATAATTGTTTACCATATTCTCAATATTATAAAATCAAGTATATAAACACGTATCCAGCCCCTTGACGAAAAATATATAGAAAGGCTAACTGTGCATATTTCTACACATTATAATGGATATTATTTATCTTTTTACAATGTTTTCTTTCTTCATAGTCATTTAATATGTTACAGGAAATTAGAAGTCTTAAGTTGAAATGCACGAAATACTTAAAAACAATATTTTTTATACCATTATCAGTGTTACTGCATACATAAAAATCCACCACATAATAACAAAATTCTAAGGTTTAAAAGTTTCACTGAATAATTTGTGAAACAAATCTAGGTTTTATGTTTTAAATTAAATAACTTTTCTATAATCAAGAAATAGTGCAATTGAAGTAAAATACACCAGGTCTACTGGTATTACAAATGCAAACCCAACCTTTATAGTTTCTCCTTCAGAAGAAACAATAGAAAGAATCATATTGTAATGGTCATCATGGAAGACTAGATATTTTGTGTTATCAAAGATGCTTAGCAGGTGAGCTTGAATAGTGTGAGAATCGCTAGCTTGTCCTAAAATCTCTAAAAGTGCTGGATCAGACACAAAAAAGAATCGAGGAAATAGCAGTCGCTTGTTCTCCAGATATCTGCCCATGAATAAAATATACAAAATATTATATAATTTGTTTTACTGAGGCACTATAGCAAAATGCTTAAATACCTTTAAAATACATTCTGGCTACATTATGAATAAAGACATACATATTAAGTAAAGAATGCTGTGAAATGACATAATACAAAACCTATAGATACAATTAAATATATAATCTAAATTAGGTCTAAATATGGGTTATTTTTAAGAGTCTGCATGCTTGAATGTACAAGAATTATAAGCAAGTATGTTAAGAAATTAAGTATCTTTTCTACCCAGTCAAAGATTTCTGGCATAGCTCTAGTTGTTCTTGAAGATGGGGAAGTAACTGCTTCAATGTGTCATCTCCAACACAACATTCCACTACATTGGGTCTTTCATGGGCTCTTGTCATGATCTTCACCCAAGACTTATCAATGCTTGCAAACCTTTTCGCTTCCTGTAAGACAAAAAATTAGAATGTAATAAAATATAACTTTTCAAAATTCTTGAATATTTAACAATTACTATGTTACAATCCAATATGAACAATTGCAAAATATGTTTTTATCCCACAAGATATTATAATGAAGTAAAAAACGAGGTATGTTTTTATATATACTTAAAATCATAGATTACTTTTGGGATAAACATATATGTTAAGTACAAGTTTTAGATACTTAGTTTTTATGTAATTTATTCATTAAAATGTATTCAGCTAGGAATGAATACATTATATGAACAAAAGAAAAAATTAACAAACATGTATCATTTTACTATGTACATATTTAATTTGTTCAAGTTGCATGACTTAAACTGTGAGCCACATTTTCTAATCTGAAAACTGACATACACAACATGCTTGCTTATTAAATGTCTTTTAAAAGCTGCCAATAAACAAAATTATTCCATACATATATGTTGGTGCTTTAAAAAACTGTAATATCAGATAAATATTTTGAGTGATGGGCACCATAAATATAATAACATTACATAGGTATAAAAATATCTATTCAGTAATAATACACAATTATTCTAATGATGTTCTGCAACAAACGTGACATGAAAATATTTGGTTAAACTACTAACCTTAGGCAGTTGCTTAGCAATGTCTCCTCCTACAAAAACTGCTTCCAAATACACCCAAAGATTCTGCACAAAAAGCCAGCGTTCTAGTATTTCGTAGGTGTTAGACAGGTCTTGTACCCATTTCTGAATTTGCTTTCGAAAAGGAGCATTGTACCTATTAAAACAATTTTAATACAAATAACGTTAACATTAAAAGAAAATTATTCAATTGACATCAAAGATTTAAAATGGTTGTTTCCAGTTATATTGTTAGACTTTTCAGGGTCATTTATGAATTAGACTATACACAAAAAGTTTATTTTATGAATAGCAATAAACAAGTATTTGTTTGGTATATTCAGGTAAACCTGGGTTAACCTTAGAGCAATTCGATAGATCTGCTTAATAACAGGAGTTCAAAAAGATATACATTATGAAGTAGAAATGAAACTGAGTAACTGAGTTTGTGAGAATGAAACAGAAATACTGAACACAATGCAATATATATATAGACAATTTTTATTAAAACAGACTTAACAACAAACACAGCGTGTGTGTACTTGCTTTTTTATACATGGGATGGTCTCTTGTACTGGATAAGGTAATTTCCTTTCAAACGTATCAGGTCAAGATCATCTACCACACTGTCTACATTTAAAGTTCCTTGCAACACAGGTAATGTTAGATTTATCAAGAGTGACCTGCATTTCCCACATGACTAGTCATTCTCAATCAAACTTTGGGGAGGGTAGCCTTGTGATACCATTGAAGGGCATTAACTGTCTATTTTCTTGCACACAGTGCAGCATTAAATATATGCATCCCACAGGCAGAACAAAACGACTTTTAAAACTAACTTTATGTACAGTTAACTACTGTATATGTTATGATAAGGTCAAGTTAAACTATTACTTTCACATAATACATTAGTCTCTCTCTAGGTACCATGCTCATCTAAGGCATTGGTGAGCATGGTCTTCCAATGATCCCCATCTCCAGTTGCTCCCATCATTTCTAAAGTGGTAATTCCTAATTCCTTGGCTGTTGCAGCATCTGTACTTTGTAAAAATGTACATTTAAGTATTAAAAAAGGATATATATATTTCTAGTAAAAATTACACACTACTACAATTAAAATTTAAAATCATACCCACCTATTACTGAGTAAAGAGCCTAAAACCATTAGACTATCTTCTAGAAGTGAGATGATTTCAGCAGTATTATCACCTCGAAGCAGTAGCTCTCCTCTGTTCTTAAACTGTGAGAAAGTGACTTCATGCAATGACCACTCTGATGTCACCTGTCGCAACTTGGCTTCAATGTCTTTCTCTTTTAATGCTGATATACAGATGTCCTGATGGAAGAAATATGAGCCTTTAATTATATGATGGAATATAAGAAACAAGTTATTAATCAGTAATTAATAATGATTGGTATCTGATTGCCAAAACAATTCTCTAAATACACAAGGTTTTTATTAGCAAAATAAAGGGCAAGATTAACAACAGATATAAATATTTGTTTATTTTTGCCCAACAACATCTAAAATGGAAGCAGCTGCATGACTTATATCCATGAATAACCATAAATATCAAAATTCTGAATTATATATCATGTTCTTAATCTGATGACATTAAAGGCTCATGATTGTACATCATTTCAATGTTTATGTAATGATTATCATAGAACATTAACAGATTACTATTATGTCAAAAATATTTTAGGTATTTACAAAATTACTCTCATAAAACAAACATAAAAAACATCATAATACTAAAGCACACAACAATGTTTCTTTATATACCAAGTTACCAAACATAACTGATTAAATTTTAATGTCCAACAGACATATATAGAAAGATATAAACTTTTCAAAATACAAGACAGAAAATAAGTTGAGCATGATATATATATATATAAATACAACAAAAACAAATACCTGATTAACATGCCCAAACTCTTTAATTTTGACACTAGTAGTTATATTACTCCTGTTACAGCATGAATTCTAACCTCTATATCCTCTTTAAAAGACAATAAAGGTGCTTCTAGAATGTTCTTCAAAGAAAAATTCACACTATCAAAGTCAAATGTATGACCAATGACTTCCGTCAGTCTTTGCCAATGACGAGGTTTCATGGCTTTGTTTGTCATCAGCTCCAGCAATGGACAGAGGTCACTAAAATCATCAATAGTTTTCTTAAGTGCATTATGAGCCGGCCATTCCCTGAGACCTTTGGGCAACTTACGACATCTAAAAATTAATAACTGCAGTTTTAGAAAAAATATTTTCAGTGTTTAAAAAGGTACTTGCTAAACAGTTAATCACACTTAATGTTAAAATTGATATTAAGAAAATGTCAGGGGTTTTTACATATCTTGTTAATTGTTAAGGAAAAATTTCAAACATATTTATATAACAAGCATAACTGAAAATGATATTTTGATAAAAAGAATACAAGTTACCTTCTTTATGCAAAAGATCCAAATATGATAACTATTCTAAAAAGAAATAGATTCTGACAGATTTTAAACAATATCTTTCATGTATCGGCAATATGTTTATTTATATTAATATCAATCATATAACTTCAAATAATGTAATACTTATGGATATGTAATGAATACCCAGTACTTGTAGCCCACATAAGCTACTTTATCAATCTCTTACAAAGGAATTTTTTCTTTCAAAGAAAGCGATTAGTAGTATTTTATGTTTCATAGAAAGAATTAAAAACGTCTCTTAGGGAAAATTTTACAAACTTTGAAGAACAAAATATAGAATTAATACTGTTACGCCTCTGTGTTCGTTTGTTAATTTACCGTAAAAATTCTTTCCGAAGAAACTTTAGCAATACAAGTCCTTTCTTAAATAAAACTAGTTTATTCTTTCTCAATACAACTTTGCAATACACTTAATTTCTACAGTCACGTTATAACTTAAACAAACGCTATAATTAAAAACAAACGATTCACGCGCTTGACTCAATTGTCCGTCTCTATCTCTGTCTGCAATTCATTCCATTGTTGCCGTCACTTCTTGGCGGTCTTATATACAAGAATACCGCAAATCTAGTAAACACTCGAGCATTCAAGAACCTTCGAGAATATCATGACGTGTTACTAGCGTCAAGTGACTTCTGCTGTCGTAACACTGCCCCTTCCTTAGTACTGTTTGACCTGAACACTAGCCACTTAAATTAAACTAATAGATAATTAACAATAACTTAATAAAATGTACAGAATTTGCAAACACTACAAACACAAAAATTATAATTCAACAAAGTCTCTTAATTTTATGGGACGTATCTTCTTCCGTACTGGCTTCTGCTTCAAGTGAGGTTCATCTGCTCCATCAGGAATTGTCCTATCATCGGTAATGGTCACCTCAGTGGTAGTAACTTCATGAAGGGCTTCATTGTTTCCCTTCTCAAAACTGAGTAGAGTTTCTTCTTCGACAGTGACCTTTCCAGGTGACACGTCTTCAGCGGCGTCTTTTGTTCCGCTGTTCACTTCATTCCAACTGAAATGTCCTGGACCGTGATAACGCCAAAGCCTGTTGGCACGCACCACCTTTGGCTTACCTCGCCGCCCACATTTTATCCGAAAAGCCACGTCTGAAAGACGATCCA